GAGAAAGGAAAGGCCATTTAAAGGAAACATTAAGCAACAGCAAAGAAAACTCTAAAGTTACAATTTACAATACTAGACTAAGACAAAAGACCTAGATTGTACTGTAAAATAAGCTATAAAAGGGGTAAAAAGCACAGACAGTTAAACTGGGAGATGTAAAAAGAAACACAGAAAAGAGAAGAAAAACCTTAGCTATTATATGCTTTGGAAAAGCTCTCTTCCAGGCTGTGGTTGGTCCTTTTTACTTTCTCTGTGGTGCCCTTTATTATACAGATATTGAAAATTTTAATTCAGCCCGGCCGGGCGTGGCTCAGCAGTTGAGCATCAACCTAGGATCCAGGAGATCGAGGTTCGATTCCCGGTCAGGGCACATGCCCGGGTTGCGGGCTCGATCCCCAGTTGGAGGCAGCCGATCAATGAAGACTCCACATCATTGATGCTCCTCTCTCTCTCTCTCTCTCTCTCTCTCTCTCTCTCTCTCTCTCTCTCTTTCTCTCTTTCTCTCTCCCCCTCTCTCCCCCCCTCCCCTGAAATCAATAAAGATAATTTTTTTTAAAAAGGTCTCCTTTTAAAAAAATATTTCAAATTTATCTTTTTTTTTTAAGATTTAGAAAAAATGAGATAATTGTGGATTCACATGCAGTTGTTAAAAATAACACAGAGAGATCCTGTGGACCCTTTACCCAGTTTGCCCCCATGGTTACATCTTATAAAACTGTAGTTCAGTATCAACCAGGATATTGACATTGATGCGGTCAAAATACAGAGCGTGTTCATCACCATGAGGACCCCTCACATTGCCCTGCACTAGTCTTATCTACTTCCCTTTTGCTCTGATCCCCCCCTTTTTTTTTCTCCCAATCCTCACCTGGGGATATTTTTTCCCATTGATTTTTAGAGAGAGTGGAAAGGAGAGAGGAGAGAGAGAGAGACAGTCAGACAGACAGACGTCAATTGGTTGCCTCCCCTATACACCCCAATGGAGGATCATACCCGCAACCTGAGTATGTGCCCTGACTGGGAATTGAACCCTTGACCCTTCGGTGCACAGGACGGTGCTCCAACCAGCTGAGCCACACCAGCCAGGGCTTGAGACTTTTCCTTTTTTTCTAGTTGATTCAGTTCTATAAATTCACCTCTAAGCACTGCTTTAGTTGTGTTCCATAAATGTATTTTTATCTTTAGTCAGTTCAGTGTAATTTTTTATTTCCCTTGAGACTTCTTCTCTGATCCAGGGATTATTTAGAAGTATGTTGTATAGTTTTCAAGTGTTTGGAGAGTTTCCTGTTTTCCTTTAGTCAGTGATTTCTGATTTGATTCCATTGTGGTTGGAGAACACATTCAGTATTATTTTAGCTCCTTTAAATTTGCTGAGGTTTGTTTCATGGCTCTAGATAAGGTCTGTCTCGGTCCATTTGAAAAGATGTGTGCTCCATCGTCAGATGGGGTGCGCGGTGAAGCCTGGTAGATGTTGCTGATGGATGGCATTTTTGACTTCTTTTGTTTCCTGGCTGATGTTTATTCCAGTTCTGTCAATTGTTGAGAGAATGGTATTGAAGTTTTCAGCTAGAATTGTGGATTTAAAATTTTTTTCTTTCAGTTCTATCAGTTTTTACTTTACATATTTTGTAACTCTGTTGTTTGGTGCATATACATTGAGGATTCTTCTTCTTGGTGGATTGACCCTTTTGTCATTATATGATTGCCCTTTTCTGTCTCTGATAATTTCTTTGCTCTGAAGTCTACTTTATCTGATATTAATATAACCATTCTTGCTTTCCTTTAATTAATATTTGTGTGATATGTCTTTTTCTATCTTTTTACTTTCTACCTATCTTTGTCATCTTGGTGTTGTCATCTATTGATTGCCTCCCCCCCCCCCC